AACCTTGACCTTCCCGGGCTCAAACAATCCTGCCACCTCAGCCTCCTGAGTAGCTGGTACTACAAGCACATACCACCATGCCTGGCTAATTTTTGTATTTTTTGTAGAAACAGGGTTTTGCCACGTTGCCCAGGCTAGTCTCGAACTCATGGGCTCGTGATCTGCCTGCCTAAGCCTCCCAAAGTGCTGGGATTACAAGCGTGAGCCACCGCACCCAGCTGAAACAAAGACGTATCTGACTGTAGTTTGTGGCGGCGCCTGCCATTCCTCCCTACAGTGATTCACAGGCTCACCCAGCCTCTCGCCCTTCTCCTTCAAGCCCCAAACCTCTGAATGCCAGGAAGGGTGGTAAGAACCATCTCTGCACCTAGAACCAGTAAAGTTGGCAGGTCACTGTGGCGGCGGGGGCGCCATTGGTGGCCTCAGGCCTGGGGAGAGAAAAATATGACATACGGGGGATCCACGGGGGTGTGTTTGGGTTCAGCCCCGTGAGTCCACACTGACCCTGGTGGGCAGACCGAGCACAGGGAGGGGCTAGCGGGAGCGACCCGGTCACCAGGGCCTGCTGGCAAGCCCAGGGTGGTGACAAGTCCACGTCTTTTGCCGGGAGCTGAAGATGTTCATGGGCTTTCAGGCAGGACAAAGCTGCCATGTCATCACCGCGTAGCAGGCAGAGCAAGGGTGCTGACAGCCTGCAGAAGCCTGCGCTTATCTCTCCATCGGAGCTAAAGCCCGTGTTTGCTTAGGGAACAGCCTGAAATTCCACCCCTGCTGCTGGGCCTTTCACTTTTGAAACATAAGCCCAGAGAGCGAAAGAGGGAACGTTGCGCTCAGATTCTCCTTCTGAGCGTGAACTTACGTTCCTGACCAGGAACCAGCCACTCGTACCGAAGGCCTTCCTGACCTCTCAGTTCTCCCCTGAACCTTTGCTGTGTCCTGGGCACCAAGAGCTGGAGATAGGCTGTCCCCGTGCACGTTTCCTAAGCCTGCAGAGGAACTGTTCGCAGAATCCAGCCTGGAATCAGCCGTTTGTGGCAAACAGCCGGTAGCTATTTCTCAACGTGTGGTTGTGAAGCTGTAGGCTCCATATTTGCTCTTCACAGAGCATCCAAGCAGGTGTCTCAGAGCCAGCTCACACCGGTTCACACCGCTCACACCAGCTCTGGACAGCTGCTTGCGCACATCTCTCCACGAGTCCACTTTCAGTGATGCCACGTGGTACCTGAAATTGGCCATAGAAATTGGCCTATGGTATGATCAGAGAACCAGTTGTTAGGTAGTCACCCCACATCCGCACCCTTCACACCACTTTCGACAAATCCTACTGTCAGAACATGTGGAACAGATAAGGGGCCTTGGTTCATTCACAAATGTCAGCACCCGTAGGTCTGCCTGTTTGGCCACAGACACTGGGGAGCAGCCTGCAGCCTTGGCTTGTGCAGCTTCCTCTGCAAAAGGGGTGTCTCCTCCAAGAAACCTGTCCTGACTCCCCAGCCCTCCCCACCTCCATTCTCACCCCCGCTGGACAGTGCAAACCCTTCATCAGAGAATGGCGCGTACCTTTCATCCTAGATCTTCCAGCAGCTTTGAAGCCAGCATCCTGTTCGTGATGTCTGGAACCCTGGGAACTGTCCCAGTGCCTGTTGAGCACATGTGTGCATGCGAAGGGGATCTGCTGAGCGCTCTGCTCTGGAGGGAAGGCCGCCCTGCGCAGCTGGAGCTGATGCCTTGGCAGATGCTGGGCATCTGGATCGTGCAGTGCCGGAGCACAGGGGCATGGCACCATTGACTTGCCGGGGAACCTTGGCCTCAAAAGGGCCTCAGCCTCTCCACAGTGCAGTGAAGACTGTCCCATACTCTCACCCCGTACAGAGTATGGGAGAGTCTCTGTGAGCCTGTGGGTGCCCTGCAGAGGGAAGGCAGTGCCAGCCAGGCCTGGCCGGGGGCCATGGAGATGGCAGGCCCAGGCAGGGGAAGATTTGTGGCACCCACTCTCTTGCTCCCCTGGAATCTGCAAAATGCCTGGGGTTGCTCCTCTTCCTCCCTGGCGTGGCTGAGCTTTGTCTGTGCCCTGTCCTTTGGCCATGGTGTTTGCCCGGTCCCTACCCTGGTACAGGCAGAGCTCCCTGTGACCCCCAGCTGTTTCCCCAGAACTGATACCAGTCTCCCTCCACCAGCCATCCTCGTTTTGACTGCCCTGGGGACTCCACTGCTGCGCTGATCCTCTGTTACTCCAGCCACTTCTTGCTTCCATGTTATCACAGACACTGAACAGTGAGCTCAGGTGTCACCCTCCACAGAGGCATGCACAGCAGGGGGTCCAGAGGCATGTCCCATGGGGAACTGGGAATGCTCTGCTTGCAGAAAGATGCAAGGCCCACTGCAATCCTCAGATGTCCTAGGGGAGAGGATATACCTGCTTCGTTTCTTCTCGGGTCAGAACTGGGCACAGTGGGTCGGAAGGAGGGAGAAAGGTTTCTGTCAGGCACTCACTCCATGCCAGGCCCTTTTTTAGGCTCCCTTAAAACCTGTCAGGTAGCCGGGTGTGGTGGCTCATGTCTGTAATCCCAGCACTTTGGGAGGCCGAAGCGGGCGGATCACCTGAGGTCAGGAGTTTGAGACTAGCCTGACCAACATGGAGAAACCCTGTCTCTACTAAAAATACAAAATTAGCCAGGCATGGTAGTGCATGCCTGTAATCCCAGCTACTCGGGAGACCGAGGCAGGAGAATGGCTTGAACTCAGGAGGTGGCAGTTGCGGTGAGCCGAGATTGCGCCACTGCACTCCAGCCTGGGCAAGAAGAGTGAAACTCCGTCGCAAAAACAAAACAAAACAAAACAAACAAAAAAACACCTGTCAGGTAAATGGTGGTAGAGCAGAAAACCTGGGCTCAGAAGCTGGCATTGACCCCAGAGCCATCCAGTTTCCAAGCCCACACCCACAGCTTTCCTCCGGGTTGGGCAGTGCGTGATGGAAAGGCTGTCTTAGCAAGTAGTGAGTTCACTTTCACCAGTCCCTGCAGGCGGGAGCAGAGCCTGAAGCGACCACTTGGAAGGGGATGTTATTCGGGGGACTCAAGCATCTGGCATAGAATGGGGCTCCACGAGGTCTAAGCCCCCTTCTAGCTCTGAAACTCCTTGAGGGAAACCACTTCCCAGATCTCTACATTGCTGCAGTGCCTTCTAACTTCCGGCACACCTTCTGCTCTCTCCGCAGGTGTTGTGCGCCAGGTACGGCCCATCGTGGGCCCATTTCATGCCATCCTGAAGCTGGAGATGAACTATGTGGTCGGGGGCGTGGTCTCCCACCGAAATGTTGTCAACGTCCACATCTTCGTCTCTGAGTACTGGTTCTGAGGCCTGGCCTGCATCACAGCCACGGGTGCACCTCCAGGCCAAATCATTGCAGCCAGTGACTGTGGCCTGTGCTTGTTTGTACTCTCAGACTTGTTTAATGTTAGGCATTTGTTTGTAGCATTAGGCCAATATGTATTAAGCTGAGCCAGATGAGTAAGTCCATCTGACGTATTTTTGGTGTTTAAAAAATGAGTCCAACTGCTCAACTGTTTGGTTGAAAACCTTGCTCATTTTTTAATGCAAAGGCTAAGTGTCGCCCCCTTTCTCTGCCTCTGGGCTGGGCCTTGCTAAGGGCCAAGGAAAGAAAGACATTTTTTAGGGGGCAGCCAGTCCAAATGCCAGAAGAAGACCAGTTCTTGCCCTGATTGTATGAAATTTGACATTTTGGTACTTTTTTTTTTTTTTTTGGCCAATCAGATTTTCTGTGTTCTAAGGACATGGCTGCTGTAGAATAGCACAGAAGTGGACGATACATTCTCCCCAGAAGCAGCGTGACCGAATGCCGCGGGGAGCACTTGGAAGGGAAATTGCAGTTCTGTTGAAATAGAGGAAAATCCCTTGCTAAAGACGCAGCCTGTTAGGCTCGTGTGGGGCTCCAGTACGTTCACCAGGGGAATGGCTGGGATTTCTCGGCACTCTGCATCATCCATCTTTTCTTATAGGTGGGGAAATAAACAACTTTGTGATCCTCCTGATGGCCTGTGCATGACAGTCTTTCAAGAAGAGGGCTCTCTGCCAGCTCAGGAGTCTGCCACCAGCTAAGGGATTGGACATCTTCCCCCCTCCCGCCCCCCTGCCTCACCCCACCCAAGGATGTCTCAATGGTACTCCTGCCCCTCAAGGTTCTGGGGCGGGGCCCAGCTTCCTACACACATCCTTTTCAACGCCATGCCCACCCTCTGAGAAGTGCGGCTCAGGTTCGTTCCCTGCCCCATGTCCAGTGCTGCTAGGCAAGCCCAGGGCTCTGGCTTCTGTGTGACTTGCTTCCAGTAGCATCCCTCGTGGCATCCTGATCCTCTCTAGAAATCCCTGGGGGGAAGTAATGACCCTTCAGCAGCCGTGAGTCCCTGCCAGACACAGGCCGGGGCCAGGCATCTGGCATGAGGGTGCTTCACTCATTCCTCCTGGTGGCCCAGTGAGGTGGGTATGATCACACACAATATTGAGATGGGCAAACTGGGCTCAGAGAGAGAGGAACTCAGTTGCCAAAATTCACACATTTGAGAGACAAAGAGGGAATTCAAATTCTGTCTGAATTTAAGCCCTCTCTAAACCCTGTGTCAGCAATAGATGTGGACAGACTGAATTTACTGGGAGACTGACACCCCAATTGGCATCAGTGGCGGGGCCAGGAGCTCCCAGTGCCCCAGGGCCCACTCCGACCTCCAGGGACTCAGCATGCAGGCTCTGTTTCCACACATGCCTCTCCTCCAAATCCTTCCCTGGGTTGCTCCCATCCTCTTAGGTATGGACCCCATTTGTGGCTCAGAACCTCTCTCATCCTATGCCTCATTTCACAGCCTGGACCCTAGCACTGGTGAGATCTCAGCCCCACACTCAAGCCAACACCACTCCCAACTTTCAAGAACATGGTCTCCGCCACCTTTGGGAAGACCTCTCCAAGGTCACTTATTTGGGTCACTGGGTCCATCAAAGCCAAGCCTGGGCCAACCAGGTACAAGGCCTGCTGGAGCCTTGGCCGCTGCAGCTGGTGAGAAAGAAGAGGCCGGGCGTGGTGCTGGATGGTCCAAGGAGCCACATCTGGGGACAAGACCAGTGCAGGGAACATCCACGCAGCTCTTCGTGCCGGGGAATTAGGGAATTGGGGACCTGGCACGGAAGTAGGGCTGGGAACTGACTGCAGGAATGGAAGGAAGCCTCAAGGCGAGGGGCAGGAAACAGAAAGGGACATGGTGTTGGGGGAGCACTGCCGCCCACTTGCAGTCTTGGGGGCAAATCTGCCAGAGCCAGGCCGTTCTGGGCTCAGCAAAGTTGGTTTCTGGGAGCCTTCTTCAGTAGGGCGGGGTGGGAAGACCAAGGTGCAGGCTGCTTTGGAAAAAGAGTTTCCCATACTCCCAATAGGAATTAGGGCAGGCCAGGCACGGTGGTTCACACCTGTAATCCCAGCACTTTGGGAGGCCAAGGCGGGTGGATCACCTGAGGTCAGGAGTTCGAGACCAGCCTGGCCAACATGGTGAAACCCCCCCTCTATTAAAAATACAAAAATTAGCTGGGCATGGTGGCGGGCGCCTGTAGTCCCAGCTATTCGAGAAGCTGAGGCAGGAGAATCACACGAAACCAGGAGGTGGAGGTTGCATTCAGCTGAGATCCACTCCAGCCTCGGCACAGGAGTGAGACTCTGTCTCAAAATAATAAAAAAATAATAATAAGGCAGCTGCCCTGAGGACGGAAAATGCCGAGCCAAGCCCCCTGCTGCTGATTGGCTCTTGAATGAGCACATGATCCAAGCTGTCCAATCAGAGCCCTGCCTCAGTGTCCGTCTGCAGCGGAAGAGGGCAGGAGGGGCCCGCAAGTGGGCGGTGAGGGCGCCAGGTTGAGGAGCCCAGGGGAAGAAAGAAGTTCTGACCCTATCTGATTCAGAATCAGGAAGGCAAAAGCAGACCTCTCTCGGCAGGGCTAGCAGTCCCTGCCATCGTCCGATCTTCAGTTTCTGCATCTGCAAAGTGGAGATTCCCAGATGGCAGTGAGGAGCGCGGGAGAGCATGAGTGCAAGAGGGTTTTGTGCATTGCAAAGTGCTGCATTCGTGTGTGAGGGCTTTTTGTCATTAACCGTTAAAAGCAGCAATGATGGTGATGACGATAATGGTTGTCACTGTCAATTGAGCCACATGAATGTGCTCTGGAAGCTTGGCATCTTTTCAATCCGGCATTTCCTTTTCTTAATCATCCTGGAGAGACTTGGTAGACAGTTGTGTAAATTACCCACCAGCCTAACTCTTCATCTTTCATATCATGCTATGGGTTGGGCACCTGATGGACCCATAAGTATCTCATTATACTTGCAAAGTAATTACTGTCAGAGCCTAGCATCAGCGGCATTAAGGCACCAGCTAACGGGAGCTGGAGGTGCCTCTGAGTTCCTCTACAACAGTGATTCCTTCTTAATGGTAGCCTTAGAACAAGATAACTGAGGGGAATTGCTAAAGGCAAAGCAGTTTATAAGCAGCATGAGACAGCAAACGCACAGAGACACCAAGTTGAATCCTTCTTGCTGATCTGGTAGAAGAAACTTGGAAGGAAGATTCCGGAAGGTCTCCTAGAGTGGTATTCGACCAGAAAACTCCTGGTTTTTTTTTTGTTTGTTTTTTTAATTCCCAAAGGAAATCTATTCTACTGTACAGAGGAAGTCTGTGGCATGTGTCAGAAGCGCCTGGGCCACCCAGGGTCCTAGTAGGACCCGTTTTAATATGCGGGTGGATGTTGAGTGGAGGGTGCCAGGACCCACCCAGCCAACACAGCCAACTAGAACTCGAGGAGGGAAGCCAGCTTTTCCAAAGTTCTCAAGTTTGTCCAGGTGAAAAAACACCTGGACATCAAGTTATTTTTTCCCCTAATATTGTAATATGGACATTTTCAAATATACAGCTGAGTCTAAAGCATTTTACCATGACTACCAGGGCACCTTCCACCTAGTCTGCCACTGACATTTTATGAGATTGAGTTGCATTTTGAAGAAATGACAGTATGATGAGATAATAAACACAAATAAGAAACTGCGTGTTTTGTAGGCTTGTGTTCAAACCCAGCCACTTACTAGCTGTGTGGCCTTGGGCACATTGCTTAATGTCTCAGAGCCTTGGTTTTCTCTTCAATGAAATGAAAATAAGGACACATACTTCACAGGAGTGATCGTTAGGATGAAAGCTTCTACATAGGAGGTCCTCCATAAATAGTACTGTCATGACACACACACCCAAAAGGATAGTCTTTATTCAGTTAGATGCCACATTTTATTAAAGTCTTGTGTAGACAAGCAGTGAAACCTCAGAAGAATGTATAAAGAATAACTGGAGGCGCTTCCATGTGACTTGGCTCCATCCAGACAAGATGACTTCCAAGTGCCAGCAACAGTTCCCCGTTTCCATTCATGTTTCCCCACATCATTCATGCCAAAGAGATGGGTGCCAAGAGGCCATCTGTCTTCATTCTGGACATGGAATGAGACAGGAACTCACTCTCGAAGGACTTTTGAAGTCTCAGAGAAGAAACGGAGCCACCGTCGACCTTTTGAAATATGACCTGTGAGAAGCACGGTGACAGTCACCATTACTCCCAATAATCACATTACTGTTTGTGGAAAAAAAGACCTACTATGTGCCAGGAAGTCTTCGGTAATCATCCCCAACACACACATTCTCTCACACACACTCACAGGTGTGCACGTGTGCACACACATACCACACACACACACACACACATATACGCTTCCTCCTCAGCCCCTCTGCCATGCCCAGCTCAGGGCCATCTTCTCCCGCGAGGTTGCCGATCTCATCTCCTGAAATGACCCTGTCCTCCCATCACTGCAGAACTTATGGTGCCACCTGCTCTGGTTATCTCTGTGTAGTCTAGTATGTATCAGCGATTCTCTGTGTGAATGTCTTTCCTCCCCCAAGATAGTGGATCTGTGACTATTACTTTAGTCTATCTATCATCCATCTATCTATCTATCTATCTATCTATCTATCTATCTATCTATCTATCAATCATCTATCTATCTATTTATTTATTTATATTTTGTGTAGAGACAGTGTCTCACTATGTTGTCCAGGCTAGTCCTAAACTCCTGGCCTCAAGCGATCCTCCCACCTCAGCCTCACAGATGTGAGACACCATGCCCGGCCACCTGATCTGTGTGTTGTTTTGTTTTGTTTTTATATGGAGTCTTGCTCTGTCACCCAGGCTGGAGTGCAGTGGCTTAATCTCGGCTCACTGCAACCTCTTCCTCCTGGGTTCAAGCGATTCTTGTGCCTCAGCCTCCCAAGTAGCTGGGATTACAGGTTTGTACCGCCACACCCAGCTAATATTTTTTGTATTTTTTAGTAGAGACGGGATTCCGTCATGTTGGCCAGGCTGGTCTCTAACTCCCAACCTCAGGTGATCTACCCACCTCAGCCTCCCAAAGTGCTGGGATTACAGGCGTGAGCCACCGCGCCTGGCCTGATCTCAGTCTTTAAGAGAGCAGCAGCTCATCTGTGGCCACTGCTTCCCGGGGACTTGCCAGAAGGGAGGTGCAGGGCACAGGGAAATGACCCGCCTCTATCTGACGGCTTCGATGGTATCGAGCGTCCTCAGTGGCAGCGCACAGCATGGAAGCCGAGGTGTGGCTGCGTTCCATTTGGAGAATTCCACTGTGATCCATGGTGTCAGCTGCAGGTTCAAGGGTGTCACAATTTAATTATTAAACATCATGAGGCATTAGGAGGCTTGGGCACGCACTGATAAGTGATCCATTTCTAACACAGCTGGTTTATTACTGTTTGTGGCAGCTCCTGCACGAATTGGTGTCCATTAACTAAGCAATGGTATTATAATTACGCATTTAAATTATGTATGGGAAGGCTGTCAGTGGTAGAAGTCAGACTGCAGTGATTACTTTGAGTCGTCAGACCTCCTGGATGTAGTCTCTCTGCAGATAGCTGTAATTCTGCCTTGTTTTCTGCTCATTTTCTGCAGA